CATGCCGGGACGCGTAGTCCGCCGGGGGGGTGGGGCGCCGGGCACGTGCCGTGCGCTCGTGCGCGCGCAGCGGCCGCCGGGCCGGTTGGGGCCGGTTGGGGCCGGTTGCGGCCAGTTGCGGCCGGCTTGGGGCCGGCTTGGGGCCGGTTGCGGCAGTTTAGGGCCGGTTGCGGCCGGTTTGGGACAGTTTGGGGCCGGCTGGGGCACTCAGTGCCTCTCCTGCTGTCCCCGCAGTGTCCTGTCCCCATGCCCAGCTCATGCCCGTGTGGTGTTCAGGGACGCGCTCCCGCTCCGCCGTCCCATGCCCCACATCCCCGCTCCAGGGCCRTGTTCCCACTCCAGGGCCATGGCCGTGCTGCCCCCTCCGCCTCGGCCGCTCGCCTGCTGCCCTGAGCTCCCCGCGCGGGAGCGGAGGCCCCAGGCCGTGTGTGAGCACCAGGCAAGAGGCACTGCCRGTGCCGCCGGGCACGTCGAGGAGCCGCAGAGACACGGGCAGAGCTGCGCTGGGCACCCCCGTGCCGAGCCCCAAGCAGTGCTGCGACACCCCCTGCCACCCAGCCACCCTGYGCCAACGGGGCTGCCACCCCCTGCCACCCAGCCCCAGCAGGAGGGAGCGACCGCGCAGCGGGACGTGTCCCCCGTGCCCCCGAGGGGCTGTCGCCCCCTGCGCGACAGCCACCCGCACGGGGCTGGCACCGGCGGCGTTAGGGCCGCGGAGCACGCGGCGCCCTGCGGTTATCAGCTCCGCCGGCCGTGTTTGCYCAGCGGTTGCCCACAGCGCTGCTCCCGCTGCTCCAAGGCTGCCAGTGCAGGTGTTGGGAGAGGGGACGAGGCGGCGGTGCCGCCGCGACGGTGCCGCGCGGGGCTGCACTGCACTGGCCTCAGTGCTCAGCCTGGGCACAGGGGACGGCTCAGCTGCGAGCGGCCAGGACGGCTTGTCCCGCGTGGGGACAGTTTGACGCTGCCATCTCCGCCACCGGGAGCTGCCACCAGACCAAGCATGGGGCAAGACGGCTCCAGAACAAGACGGCACCATCCCCAAACCCAACACGCTCTGAGCTTCCTCCCTCTGGAGATGGCGGGCGCCTGGGACGGGCTACTCGGCCGCCCTCTGTCCCCACGCCGTCCCGCCGCTCCCGCTCCCACCGGCACAGCCAAACAGCAGCGACCGCCTCGGGGCCCAGGCAGCCCTCGCTGCAGCACCCGGCTGCATCCCGGCGGCCCTGCGACACAGGGGTGCAGAGTGTCACCCCATCGGCAGCAGCGATGCCGCTGTCCCTGGGGGCGCCTCAAGGGGACAGGTCTCGGGGTGCGGGACCCCCGGGAGGGCTTCGTCGCAGGGCGCTGCTGTGCGGCTGGCCCCGCTGCCGCCGCGGCGCCTGTTTGCACAGGCACTGCTCGATAAGCAGTATGTTCTTCAGAAGATCCTACTCCAGGAGTCAAAATAGCATGAAATTTAATTTTACGCCTATTTGACAAAGCTTGATTTCGCCTCCAATCAGCAGAGAGATAAGAGCCCTCGGCACAAGTGTGCCTGCAGTTTGGCAGCTGGGGCTGCCRATTTAATAGGTGAATCTACAGGAACAACACTTGAAAATCCCCTGGCTAGTGAACCATTAAGGTGAGCCCTGCCTTCCGTCCCCGCGCTGCCTCTCCGCGCCGCTCTCCCGTTGCTGGGTGCTAAAGCAAACCCCGGCTCTGTTTACCGAGTCTACTATTACAATACGGCTACCAAATATTTGCCAGGCGGCCGCTGGCCGCGCCGCTATAAATACTTCGGGCCCAGGTGGAGGGCCCGCGAGGGGCGGCGAGGCGCGGGAGGCTCCGCGGGGCCGTGGGCAGCGCCGAGGTGAGGGCCGGGCCCCGGCGGGGAGCGCGGCCGCGCGGGACGGGATGGGACRGGATGGGACAGGACGGGATGTCTCGTCATGGTGGTGACTTTGTCTCCCCCTCRCTGCGGCTTCTTGGGGCCCTCGCAGGGCTGGGGGGTCCCTGCGCGGGCACAGACAGACTTGCCCTGAAAGGAGAGGGGCCTCGTGTGATGTGGCCAKGGCTGCTGGGTGTGAGAGCGGGGCAGGGAGGGGACAGGATTCGCCCCGTGACAGGGACCCCCTCGGGCCGCTGCCTGGGCAGGGTGCGGGGCTCGGTGCCCTGGGCACCGGGCTAGAACGGCTGCGGGATCCTGGATCCTCCCCAGGACATGTGGAGCAGCTGGGAGCCACACGGCTCTGGGGGAYATCCCTGCTGCCCCATGGCTTTAGGGGACATCCCTGGCTACCCCAAGGCTCTGGGGGACATCCTGGCTGCCCCACAGCCCTGGGTGACATCCTGGCTGCCCAGGGCTCTGGCTGACATCCTGGTTGTCCCACAGCTGTGGGTGACATCCCTGCTGCCCCACGGCTCTGGGTGACATCCCCACTGCCCTACAGCCTGTGCCTCGGGGGCCATCCCTGCAGCCCCGTGAGCAAAGGCTCGGGGGAAGCTCCCGCACCCCCATGGCACAGAGCCCCAGGTGACGTCCCCGCTGCCCCCCAGCCACGGGGCACCACGGGGTGCTGGACTGCCTGTCCCCAGACTCATCCGAGGGCAGGCACCACGGGGGAATCTCCTTGGCCATCCCTTCTCCGGGGCCGTGCAGGGCTGCAGATCCCGCGACCCTGCCAGGGGCCTGGCGCTCGCCCAGCCCCGTCCTGGCGCCCGTGTGGCCGCACAGCTCGTGGCGCGGCCACCACGGGGGCGGGCAGCCCTCAYCCCGCTGTCCCCAGGGAGAGCTGGGACCCCGCCATGGCCACCGGCGTCATCCGGCACCTGGCCGAGCTGCGGCTGCCCTCGCCCTTCCCGCACGCCCTGCTGCTGCCCACGCACCCCGAGCCCGACTTCCCCGAGCTCTCCGAGGAGGAGGACGATGACGAGGAAGAGGAGGYCGTGGAGGGCGCAGACCACGGCGGGCAGGAGCCAGCAGGCGCCAGYGCGGCCGAGACGCCGCTGCGGCTCCTCAGGTTTTCGGAGCTCATCAGCGGCGACATCCGGCGCTATTTCGGGCCCGGGGGCCGCGCCGAGGACGCCGAGGGCCGCACCGAGGACTGCYGCTCGCCCCGGCGCTCCGGCCGCGAGCTCTGCCCCGCGGAGCTGCCGCGGAGCRGGCAGCCCCTGGGGCCGCTGGCCGAGCTCTTCGAGTACGGCCTGCAGCAGTGCCGGCAGCCGCCCGGCAAGCAGCGGCGCGAGAGGAAGCACGGCCACATCACCCCCATGCACGAGAGGAAGCTGCCGCAGTCCTTCTGGCGGGAGCCGGGCCCCGGCCCCGCGCTGCACCCC